ATTATACAAATGACAGAAAGGGTCAATGACTCAATTTGTCATTTGTAAAATCAAGAGGAATTGACAACTTTACCCTGACTAAGCAAAAGTGAGTAGTTATTCTCTAAACAAATCTAGATAATGCTTACACGGTTCTAGTAATTACATGATTAGTGGTAATTAATAACAAGGCACCTAACTATGAAAAAATTGAGTAATTATTTTCTATCCGAATCTAGGTAACGCTTACACTATTCTAGTGATTACATGATTAGTTGTATTTAATAACAAGACACCTGACTCCGAAAAAGTGAGTAGTTATTCTCTACACGAATCTATGTAATGTTTATACTGTTCTAGTGATTATATGATTAGTTGTAGTTAATAACAAGGTACTTGACTACAAAAAAGTGAATAGTTATTCTCTACACGAATCTAAATAACGTCTAAACTCTTATAGTGATTCCCTAAATTATTATAGTGAATAAATACAAATAAGGACAAAGTTGTCAATTCCTCTTGATTTTATAATTGACTGATTGGGTCATTGACTATTTTTGTCATTTACACAATTTTAGAACCCAATTTGAAATTCTCTATACTCCAGGGGTTTTTTTTTGGGGATTTTCTCCAAATAGACTTGGTTTCTAAAGGTTCATGGAGTTAAAAAACACTAAAAGTCGGGACGCAATGGCTCGTGGAGTTAAAAAAACAAATTGCATGTCAAAGATGAATTGGATCTAAGATTTTTTTAAATAAAAAACGGATTAAAAATTCAAAAATGTGTTGGATATTTGTCGCACTGGGCCTCATCAATTGCATTTGTTTTTTTTTAATTGGAAAAAATTTGGGAAACTCCCAAAAAAAACCCTTGGAATATATGAAATTCCAGATTAGGTCTTGAAATCTTGAAAATGACAGAAAGGGTCAATGACCCAATCTGTCATTTGAAAAATCAAGAGGAATTAACAACTTTGTCCTTATTTGTATTCACTACAATGATTTAAAAAATTATTATAAGAGTTTAGGCGTTATCTAGATTTGTGTAGAGAATAACTACTTACTTTTGTTATTAACTACAAGGCACCTGACTACGAAAAAGTGAGTAGTTATTCTCTACATAAATCTAGATAACGCCTAAACCCTTATAGTAATTCCTTAAATAATTGTAGTGAATACAAATGAGGGCAAAGTTGTCAATTTCTCTTGATTTTGCAAATGACAGATTGGGTCATTGACCCTTTCTGTCATTTTCAAAATTCTAGGACCTAATCTGGAATTTCCTATATTCCAAGAGCTTTTTTTGGAATTTTTCCAAAAAATTTTAATTAAAATAATTTAAATCAAAATTAGTCTTACTAAGTACTAACGTCAATTAAAACAGAAATTAGGCTTACAAGTTCATCTATCTTCAATTTTTATGAAGGGATTTTTCATCAAGAATTTCATCAAAAGAAGCTTAAAATTACTAAATCTCAAGTAAAAAATTCTAACAAAAATGTGCTGTTATTTATAAATATAATGTTGTCAAAAGTTATTAAAATGTTGTTACCAAACTTAATTTAAAATTTAGTAATTTCAAACTTCTTTTTATAAAATTCTTCTTTTTTCTATATTGACAACTCATCATAATATTGAACTGTAACTCTTCAAGTAAGTCCAGGCATGAGAATCTTTTTGCCGGTACTTCCTCAGATTCTTAATGTTATTCCCCCGTATATACCAATTAATTTGAAATTAAATTTGATTATAATTATAAGATTTCAAACTGTTTTGTATCACTTTTGACAAAAAAAAACTGCTTTGCATCACATATTTGCTATTTTTGTTAAATTTAATTTAACTAATTTATAAACTCATATATAATTTAGTATTACATAGATGTATTTTTGGTTGATCGGGGAAATTTTTTGATAATTAACTAATTCATCAAACTTTCTTAGTTTATCTAGATTAATTAAATAAACTCTTATATTAAAGACCGGAAAAAACATGATTACTCGAGATATTTATGCATTTAAGACTTGAAGTGCCTGCAAATCCCTAACTGAAAAATATTTATGATATTAATATTTATGCATTTAAAAAATATTATTTCAAGAAAAATAATGATATTCACACATTAAAACTTAATTTAAACTATAAGAAAGTCATAAAAATATTATTTATAAGTCATAAATAACCATATGTGTTTCATAAAAAAATTACAATATAATTTCAACTAAAAATGAGTTTAGATTTTTTTTTTTGGCAAAGAAAAATGGAGTTTAGATTGATAAAACAGTTTTAAAATATTGTAAGTGGGATGGATATAGTGAGATTTTCTTCATTTTCAAAAGCAGGAAAAGGAAAAACTCGTGACCTTGCACAAAGGGCAAAAACCATTAATCATAATCAAACACAGTTGTCATTAGGTGCGTTTGGTTATGTATAGAACCACCCCTTTCTTTTACTTTATAATATTTAAAAAGGGTAAAAAAATGCATCTAACATTATAATTTTATTTTCAAGGTATGGCTAATACTTTAATCTTATTTTTTATTATCTAAGATCTTAATATTACTTTTAGTGCACCTAGCATACTAAAATTGAAGATACTAGATATAACTTAAAAAAAACGTTGGGAAGCTAAATGTATTAGAAAAATAAGATTAGAATGTTGATGGTATTATAAAAAAATTGAGGATGCCGAATGCACCTAGAAAATAAGATCAGAATAATGGATAGACATCTATCTAATTTAAAATAAGATTATAATATTTATATCTACGTCTAGAGCAAAATTTATTTAATTTATTTTTTTCTGGTTGTTAAATTATTATTTATTGTTATTTCAGTTAACGATGTGAAAGAAATATGTAAAATATAAAGTTAAATATTATCTAACATGTGTAATCTTTGGCAAGTTCTATAAGAAAATTATATGGGAACATAAATAATACAATTGATTCATAAACAAAAAAGCAATATGTTTGATTATAAAAATATAAAGAGCAATAGTATGACTCATTCTCTAATTTTTATTAAATATATGAGGATGCGTGTCTAAACTTATTATAGATTTCAATCCCTAATTGGAAGAAAAGCAAGCTGCACAGCTCATCACGGATTGAATAGTCAACTTCCCACTTCAATAAAGTCAAGCAATGTTTTTTGTTTTTGGGTAAGTAAGTCAAGCAATGTTTTGTCGATTTTCATATATATATACATATATGCTTTAATATTTATTTTTAAAAATTAAAAAAGAAAGATTTTTTAAGTATGAACTTTATATGAAAAAATCATCAAATCAATTTGATATGAACGGATGCTTAATGATCAAAATAGACAAAAATAAATCTTCATCTTCAAAAATCACATAAATACAACTTTCGTATTCTCCTGTGTAGTCATTTATATATATATATATATATCCAAATGTGTATATATATTTATATATATTATAGGATTTATAGAAATTCATACTATTTACAAATAAAAAAAGGCAGCTCATTCATCAAACTCCTTATAAATACCGGGCAAGTGAAAAAATAGTTTCTTTTTTTGCCAACGGAAAAATAGTTTTACAATGTTAAGACTTGAGTGCTGAGTGGAAATTTTAATAAACAAATGATTAAATAAAAGGAGGGTTAATGACTTGTCACCAAATTTCAAGGGAAGTAGTTATTCAAATAAATGATTTGATATGGGGAGGGTTAAGACTATCAACTTAAATATATTTGCTCAATAAAAGCAAGAATTTTTTGAAACAAACTCTTTTAAGATATTGAATTTTTTTTAAAAATAAAGCATGTAACAATATCTATTATTTTTAAAAAATATACATTTAATCATTTAATTTCATAACAAATTTTATTTTTTAACCGGGATAATAAATTTTACTTTAGTCTTTTAATTTTTTGGGCGCTCAATAAAAGCAAGAATTTTTTTTGAAACAAACTCTTTTAAGACATTGTAATTTTTTTTAAATAAAGCATGTAACAAATATTTATTATTGTTAAAAAAATATACATTCAATCATTTAATTTCATAATAAATTTTATTTTAGTCTTTTAATTTTTTAGGCTTCATATTATTTTTTTCAATTTTTAATGTTTGTTAAAATACTGGACACGTGCCAATTGATTTGGTTTAAATTACTATAAATCTTTTATATTTACGCTCTCTTGACTTTATATTTAATTTCAAATCTATCTTTCATATTGCTCTCTCTTCCCAAATTTTCACCGTTATGATAGTTGGAAAAACCTTTTTTTTTTTCTTTAAAAAAAATCCCGATCATGTCATCCTTCATTGTCAGTCTAACTTGACATCATTTTTTCTCTTAGGCCCCCTTGTATCAAAGGGTAAACATTGATCTTTTTTCTCTCCAATTTTTTGTACGATGTATCTAGTATTCTGATATTATTATTTTATTTATATTTATCACTGTAATTTTTAGAGTGTTTGATGCACATTTACCCTATATCAAAACCCATTCTTCTCGCATTCCTTAAGTTTAAGGTATTATCAGACATTAAATATGTGTATTTCAAATTCTGATTTGTTACGCTGTAAGAGACTAGCTTTTTCTGCTAAAAGTTAGAAACTATATAGTGTGTGTATATATATTGCTACACAAGAGAATTACATTTAGGTCATAAAGAAAGAAAATAATTACTAATAAATCATAATAACAAGTACACAGTTATCATTTATTATCCTGAAAGTATTTGTTTGCATACTACTCTGTTTGTTACTTAGTCGGGAATTCATAGCAATTTTAACATCCAAAATTCCAAATTTCATCCCAGCGCTGAGGAAGCCTAGAGCCTTTAGTCATTGTATGAGCACCAAATCAGAACGCAACTTTTCTTGCCTCTCAAAACACTACACAACAGCTCCTTGTCCTTGGATTCAGTCGAAAAGGGGGTTGAACACTCATAAATGGAGTGTGTTTGATCCTAAGCTGGTCAAGGCTTTGGGGGAGCAATACTCACAACTAGTGAAAATAGAAGATTTTATTGATTGGGTCAGTCAAAATGGATTTGCTTGACATACTTTCGTGCCTGCAGGCAAAGGCCCCAATGGATCATAGGTGAACCGGACCCTTTCCTAAAATTTTGTTTTAAAATAAAAGAAATAAGCACCACACAACACATGACATGAGATCTGCAGCTCACTGAAATTTATTTTGTTGGTGATAACAGTTTACTGAGGTTTACTGTGAAGATAAAGTTGGATATATTTATACAGCCTGTAAAACTTGGATTTGCACCGACGCAAGAATTAAGAGGCACACATCTCTGGTTGGGACCCATACCACTCAGGAGAGCCTCAAAGGGCTCTCTCTCGTTTACACCCACACACCCTTCCTGCCATTCCCCCAATCCCCCAAAGGCGCAGGCGGTGGGCGGCGTGGGATCGGATCTCGCTCCTCCAGGCATGTCTTTCTCCGGCGCCGGCGTCGGCAGTAGGTTCATGGCTTTCTCTCCCTCACCGTCAGCTCTTCACTCGCCTCATCTTTCCGGTCTTCGCTCTGCCGCCGCCTCCTCTGCTCTCCTCGAGCAAGAGAAGTATGCTCTCACTCTTTGATCTATGTGTCTGTTTTTTCCCCTTTCTCTCCAGTTTGAGTCTCGTAGGATCTGGCCTCGGTTTTCTTTGTCTTTGCTAGTTTTGAGATTTTGGGTTTTGGCTGGTGTTTGTTCGAGATCTCGGTCTCTGTGGACCTTATTGACTTTGATCCTTGTGACTTTTTTTAGCTAGGACTGTGATTTCGTACTTTTGGATGAGTTCATTTTGTTTCACCGGGCGAAAATGTTACTTGGATCGATTGATTACTAAAACTACAGTCGACTATACTATTTGGTTCCATTGCTGTGATTTTCCCCCGATTAAAGATCGCGCTTCTTGGCACTCGCTAGTTTATCGATTTTTGTTGCATGATCTAGTTGTTTATCCTTCTTCCTTACATCAGCATTCTAGCTGTTTCTCCTTCTATAGATGTGATATCTATCGTTTCGAAAACGACTGCTTGAATTTTCTGATGATGTCCGAGAAGATATTTGTTGAATAATGCAGATGGGATTGATTCAAATTTGGAGTCTGACCTGCAGTTTTATGTTACTGCTTTTAAGGATAGTTTAAGTGCCCATCAGGTGCGTTTAACAATGGGTCAAAATGTTATGCTTGAGTCCATTTGGTGTCTGGATCTTGGAATGCTACTGGCCTGCCCACCCCGGAGAATTGGTTGATCTTGTTACTTTTTTTTTTTTTTGAATGTAGTAGTGATAGCTTTTTAAGTTAAGCTGTATCCATGTAACTGGCTTTATACATATTGTTCATTTATCATATGTGAGATATTGTCGTTGTCTTTCTGTGTGGTTTAAGCTTACCATGGTACTATTTCACCTATCCACATTTTGCTACCTGAGAATTTGTGTGCATCTCCTTATAGGGCATGAAATAAATGTCTGACTGTCCTTACAATGTACATTTCTTTTATTTTTCAGATATTTATCTGAGTTACTGGAAGAACGTCATCATCTTAGTCCTTTCACGGCTGTGCTTCCCCTCACCTACAGATTGTTAAGCCAAGGTCTGTTGCTTTTCTCAATATACTTGCATGCATTTACAATGAGTTTCAAGCCAATCCTTCTCTCTTCCTCACTCTTCCCAATTTTGATCGTTTCAGTCTAGCATTAAATAGCACAAATGACATATCGTGCTTATGTCCTAGCACTTGAGGCAAGAATCTTTGATTTTCTTTCAAGATGCATAGTTCAGTTTCCTACAGGGAGTTTTGGAATTCGATTTGTTTTATACACAAGGCAATGTAAATGTCCTGCATATAGGTGAATTGGGTTCCTCAATTTCAAATCTGAAAGTTATAATCTTTTTTCAAATGGAGATGATCCAGTTTGACTTAAGAGCCATAGCTTTTATGTTGTTCTATTTATACATATCATTCATGAAAAGACTTCAATGATCAAGCAAATAGAGACTAATTTTCTATCCAAAATGAAATCAGAGAGCTATATTCTTCTGCATATTACAAGTGATATTTGCTTCAGTGCTTGCTTTCATTGTTTTTACCCCCATTTAATTTGATTTCTATCTAATTTTCTATGTTCCTAGATTTGAAAAGGGCATTCTTCATTAACCTCTGAGTGCTGTATTTCTTGGGATATGGTCCATAATGCAGACAAGTGTCACCTTTTGTTTTGAGAAAAACAGAGAGATTAGCTTCTTTTCTTTCCCAGAGTTTAAGGTCCTTTTAAGTGGTATTTATGACTACAAGATTTATTTTCACGTGTAGATTGTATGCCAACCAAAACACCATAACTGGTTTTCATTCAGACTCTCGAGTAAAAACTAGTATTTTCTCTCTCTTCAATTTACCCTGTATATCCTTTTGACCTGTAATCGAACTAAATGATATGGACAAAGATACTTACTTGCCATGGTCTGATGGGAAAATATGGTGTTGTGAGTAGTAGTGAACAGTGTGTTATATGGATATGTATGTGTGTAGGTGGATGAAGAATGTAGCATTGGATATGAAAGTGTTGTTTACAAGTCTTCATGTGGAAGATTTAAGGACACTTATATTTTGTGGGGAAAACTGACTAACAGATGATATGATGATTGACAGTTTTAATGAAGCGAGGCTAACCTTTCTAGTTTTGTTTACTTAGACTGCCTCTTTTTTCTCCCACTACCCTTTGTGAGGAGGTGGTGGTGGGTTGGGATGTGAGGTTGGATCTTCAAATATATACGTTGCTTCTTGAGCTCAGCTGGGATTTTAACGCACTTCATTAATGCTTGTTAAAGTTGGACTCTTGATCAAATAAGGAATGAACCATTGTAAATGAAAAGGCAGAGGTGTAGGTAATGTTTTACTGGAGGTGCATCAATAGGTAATATGATGGATGCATTTTGAAGGATTTTTGTTACAGCAAGAATTGTGGCCCCTTAAACACCACTGCTTATCAGAGAGGGTGTGTTCTGTCTTGTGCATTTACTATGGAAATAAGTGCCATCTGTTTAGGATCTTCCTTTGACGGTCATGGTGGTATTTTCCTCTCAAGAGAGGGTGAAACCGTAGTCTGGCTGATGGTATAAGTCATTATGGCTTTATGTGTAGTGCCTGACAATGAGGTATTTGTTCAGGCGTTTGACCTATCACGCTATTATGTGAGAGATGTTTTAATTACTGAATTCTTGGTCATTATGCAGGTAGTTACTTGTGTATCTTTTGCTAACCTGATTATTAGAAAAAAGTAGTTTTATTTTAGTTTATGACATTTTTTGTATATTTCTTTTTACTTTTAGCAGGGTGACAATTGACTGCATCTATTTCTTCCATCCTTGATTACATCCATTCAAAGCTAAAATTTATATTATAGGGGAAGCATTAATTTTTTACTGACTCAGCAAACATCCGTGTTGTCTATCGATTATGTGGTGACTGCTAACTTGTTAACAACTGCTGACTGGTACATCTTGAAAATTGACATTTTTGGAGCAGAAATTTTGCGTGTAACCACTCTGTTGGGGAATGCATCAGTTTTAGGTCAAAGTGGGCTTGAACATGGTAGCCCCCTGGCTTCTGGAGGATTATTTTCAAATGGAGGTGCCGATATGAATGGATGTGCATCACGATTTCAATCAGAAGTACGGATACTAACCATTAACATTAACTTCTTTTCCGTCTAATACTGTATTTTAGAAGCATTTCTGACAATTTTTACATTTCATGCTAACTCATAACATGTGTTCAGGTGCTTACAGGTTTAAATGTTGTTAGTGGCAGGTAGTGCTAAGCTAACTTAATCAAGTTCTGACAATCATTAATAGCTTAGCTTCTGATACCGGAATCCTGCTAAGGGTTCTGGCTTTTGTCTTCTTTTGGACTTGAGATATACTAGATTGGATGTAAATGATTGACAACCCTTAAATTTTGTGACCACTATAACTACTGTAAAATAACAAATGTAAATGAAATGTAATGCAATGTGTCAGCTGTGGAAACATGTGCGTATTAAGATGGGAATCTTGTTTAATGCGGTTTTGTTTTATTTTATTTATTTTTATTTTCTTTTTCTTATTGGTGTAGCGCTCACACTAGTATTTTGATTATTTGGCCCCCATCTTATCATAGGAGTATAATTGTCTAATTCTCCAAATTAGAGGTAATGAGGTATTGACTGAGTTGCCGGAATAGGTTGAACACTGCCCTAATGTCAGCATGATCCTAGTGCAGTGATAGTTTCATATCTGATCTAACATATTATTTCCAATTATCTTTATTTTTAAAAGGGATCCTTGAATATCAGGGTCTCCAATTGTGCTTGCAAATGGCAACATACTAACATACTAAGTACATAT